ACTGTTTTTTTTCTAGGCTTGATTGTGTTTATGGGGTGCAGTCTAACATGTGTTAATGCTTCGTTTAAAAAAAACAACAACATTATTTTTCACATAATTTACCTTTATTCCACACCGCTCTGTCCCTTCTCTGAGAATTGGACTGATCTTTTCCTGTTTTTATGAAGCCCCGCCCTCAGAAATAGTTGATGGGCACTGATTGGTTAGCTACCCCAGTGTGTTGCGATTGGCTAAACCGCCTCTAGTGCACGTCTAAACGTCCCGCCCCTCTCCTCAGCGACATGTGCTCCGGTTGTATTGTAAACAATGGCGTCGTTAATATCGCTTATCAGTTAAGTGAAATCGCAATGAACCACCCTTTTAATTCTGCTGTGGTGTTTTACAGGCCTCAGTATCTTTCTCATGCCCTCTATACAAGCTTTTCCTCTGGAAATTTCCATTCTGCATTTTTCTGTGGCTTATGGCTAGAAATTGTTCTGTGACTGGCACATTGGATAAGTTCTCAATCCAAGACATGCCTTAATGTGCCTGCACTGGGATAGAGCAGAATTAAGCTAGTGGCCCGCTAAATGATTTTCCACCAATTTGCAGATGTTAACCTTCTTTACACAAGCATTCAGAAAACGAACGTGGTACACATGACCGTGTCTGCATCCCCACCAACTGCTCGCTAAATTAACCATCCTGCCAACTCTCTGTGGCCTCTGGTAACAACCAATAGCCTGGAATTTCTCTGTGGGGTTTTTTTTTGGGGGGGCAGTGAAATAAATACGTTTCAGCTGTAAGTGCAAAATAAAGGTTGTGATCAGATTTTTTTCATACTTAATGAAACAGATGTTTTATTTTTTTTGTAATGCAATAAATATGCAACACGTGACAGAGACGTGTTATGATATTGCCTGTTGTCTTGACTTTGTGTACGACTATTTGTTTGTTCCATTCCAAGCAATGGAAGATAGGTTGTTGAAAACATTCAGTTTTGAAAAAATGACACACTTCACACTTATATTTTTTCTTCTCTTGTAGACAAATCAAAATACCACACATGTTGTATTATCATTTTGGTATTTTCCCTATGTTTTTAAAACATCTCATTTAAAGGTACAAACCAAAAGGAAACTTCCCACAAACACTGCAGTTTCCTTTCATTTGGTTTCATTATAAAATTGTTATATTAATATTTTAGGCTACTTAAAGAAAACATGTAATCAGGTAAGGACATTTTTTTTACCCAATTCAAATAACTATTAACAATAATAATAATAATAATGATAATGATGATGATGATGATGATAATAATAATTATTATTTTTCAAATATTAAAATAAAATATAACAACAAATAAATATATTACTATTAAAATTGTATTGTACCATTAAATAAAGGATCTAACAAAGCTATCAATTAATAAAGCAGTGCTGTCGGAAGCTATGGTATCCATCCTTAAAATTTGAATTCAATTAATTGCACTAAAATTACATTTAAATTTTTTTCACATCGTTCACACTTCAGGTCGAACAATCAATATAAAAATGCATATATACAGAAATCCATAAAAACGGAAAAATCACATCCATGAGAAAAATTATATATTCGTATGTTCACAACATTCCTAAAAATTGTTTATTTTATTTTATTCTTTTATTTTAGGTGTGGTAAAAACTGTGGTATCCTATGTCTTTATGGAGGTGGTAAGAGGGCAGCATATCATGTTTGCATGCATGCACAGTCTGTTTCTTTCCGTCTCAGGTGACCTACAGCTGTTGCCTATAGGATATGGGTCTTCATCACTGAACTATAGCTAATGGAGTTCATTTGTAAAACAAGGTGTAGGTAATTCTAACCTAAATTAGTGTGATTTTTCACATCAAATGTTTCATATTGCGTGACTGGGATCCCTTGCCACTTCAAACCCTTACAAATGTCACAACTCTCTGGCTCAACTTTGTTCTCGGGGTTCCAGGAGGCCGTCTAGAGCTTTCACCAGGAGACTGTGGCTCAGGTCAAGTGCTCTTGAAGCAGAGACTCACTATTTCATGTTTCCCACTGGACAGGCAACAGGTTTCACCACTGACCATAGAGAGCATGAATGAATGGAGAGAACAACAGTCTCTGGCACGCCACATTAACAGCAAGGCAATGCAGTATTCATGACTGTAATACCCAGAACATCACTGTCCGTTGTGAGATTGTCTCCTCGCTGCTCCCTCTCCGTTCTTCCCTAGAGGTTCTTGTCAGAAGCTGTAAAGCTAATAAACATCTGAAGCATGAACAAAAGAAGACAACACTTAAAGGGCTAAAGATCGGCTAAGCCACAGCAACCTCTCAGGAACACTACAGCCTGTTCAGAGTCATACCGGCTCTTACCTCGTCACAAGACAAGGTATTATTGTATGCATTTATAATGGCTGCTCAATCTCTTATTGTGGAGATACCCTGCTTAAAATATTTTACCCTTAACATTGTAAAAATGCCATCGTTTCACACTTTAAAATTTTGCCACTTTAAAACAAGTTTGTCACACGTTAAATAAAAGCAGTGCTAGGGTTCTACTTCTAAATTGCATGTGTGAAATGTTCCTTTCCCCAGGTTAAAAAGTGGGGTTTAGTACGACGATAAAAGCACAGTGAGAAAAGCCCTAATGTGTAGTTAAAAACATGTGTTTTTTATGTCTACTTCATAAAAATAAAAGAATGAATAAAATGTTACCACATTTTTTTTTCACTGGGTTGGATACAGGCAGCTTTCCAAGTGCCAGAGTTCACTGGAGGCAGCTTGAGACTGGGCAGCATTGTCACGGTGCCACTTTGCCACTTAATTTAAATGGCACACTTTCACAAAACCTGAGAAATGGCACGAAGCCCTTCACAAAAAT